TGTACAACCAAGTTTAGTATTCTAAGACTCTCCATTTAGTCTGTATGCATAATTAGGTTTTATACTTTAAATTCAAAAAGAATTGCAAATGTTATTCTACAACTACTTCAATTTTCCTTTACTCTGTTTTGATATGGTAAATACAACAAATTCATGCAAATCCATTGCTAGGTTTCTCTGTTACAAAGAGAGGAATAGTGTAGTCCACTCTGTTTAGAGCAGTAGGGTGGTTCATAAACTTAAAATGGTTTAGAAGTACAAAGTTGGATTTCCATGAAAGCATTTTCCAATGGCAGATGGACCTGTGTTTGTAAACATGTGAGTGCAGCATGAAAAAATACAATTTCATGGACCACTCCACCATAGCATTATGTGTATCATGGCACAGATGCAAGCAGATCCCTTTGCAGTAGGAAAAACCTAAATTCGTTCAGCAACTGTAACCAAATAAAGTGATTAATAATGGATGATGGGCTATATATCACGCTCTGATTTTCTTTAATCTGATGTTTCATAACCCACCTGAAGGACACGTGGAGTGGTTGATGTCAGAGTTTGCAGGAGCTGCAGTTCAGCCAGGGCTCACCTGGAGTGGACTGAGCCCTGCTCAGCCGGAGCAGTTCCTGGGGTTTATTTCCCTGCAGACGCTCCTTGGCAGGATTACCACAGGGATCTCAGCCCGGGGCCGCGCTCTAGCTGTGCTGCCTTTGGGGTGTGCAGTCCCTGCTGCCTCCGGCCTTCCCTCGATCCGCTTGCTTTTCCTGCCTGTGTCACTTCCTTCCCCTGGCTCACACGCACCCAGGGACACCCGTGGGGAGGGAGCAGGGCTCAGCCTGCAGCTTAGGATCGGCTCAAATCCCGGGCTTTAACTTGTGAATCACCCTGAATATATCCCACAAGGATAAGCCTCGTAGAGCTCTCTGATTTTTCTTCTCATTCTACAAACCAGGTCATCTGTGATTTCCTAAAGCTTGCACACAGCAGCATTTTGGTACCGCTAAAGCTATCCACAGCAAAGGACTCACAATGAAACTCTTTGCAGGACTTTTTTGGGACCTTTAACATGGACACAATTTGTCTAAAATTTCCTCCTCGCCCCTGGATCTGGCAATCATTCGCCCCAACCAGATTTGCTATTGTGGTGGTAGATAACAAATACACATATATATTCACTTCTTTCTCTTTTAAACCAATTTGGCATCATGTGTCCCACTATGACACCAGATAAAACATGATCCTGGCTTAGGGGGTTCACAGGCTTCCTGTTTTTATCCATGTGCAGATACTTTCACTGTTCTGACTTTGGGATTTATTTTTTTTTTTCAAAACTCTTTCCATTTCTGACTTATTCAGACCTGTGTAACAAACCACAGATTGGTTGAAGTAAATGCTTTGTGGAGAGGAATAACTTTCTCTGTGAGCAGCAGTTTGCTTTTATCGAAGTTATAAAAATACTTGAGTGTAGTTTTTAAAACATGAAAAGCATTTCCTGGACAACATCTTTCCCGCACAAAGCAGAACAGTGTTTCCCAGACCTGCTGGAGACCAGGCAAAACAGGGTCTCTCAGTGCTCCAAAAATTGCTTCATTCTCATTTATAGCAGCTTCTGCATTGTGCGATTAATGTAATGCTGCTCCATGTGCTTCTCCAAGTCACCTTATGGAAATCCTCTGTTTGGATGGAAATAAAGAAGTGTTCATGTTTTCAGCATTAAATCCATCACTGCTGTCCTCACCAGGCACAATTTTTCCCTACACAAACTCAGATCAATATTTGACTTTATCTTATACTTTTAAGAGATAAATACTCTGTCATGTCCTACCTCATCAACATAGGGGTGAATTACAGGATGTATTGTTTAGTAGTAGTGAGCCAATAGCTCAGTGTAAGACTACTAAAATTGTATAATAAGATTCACTTGCCTGAAGTGGTTCCATCCCCTTTGTTAGAGCATTAACTGTTCCAGTTTTAGGAAGATAAATAATATTTCAGTGTTAGAATGACTGCAGTGAGTGAGATACAGACCTTGCAGGGCACTAAGTGGGGTTTATAGACTATCCCGAGTTGGAAGGGACCCACAGGGATCGTGGAGTCCAACTCCTGGTCCTGCTCAGACAGCCCAACAGTCCCTGTGCCTGAGAGTGTCGAGCTCTAGTGTTTAGATGCAGCCTTTCAGAGTTTTGTTGTAAATTCTCAAGTTGCCTATAAATAAAGCTGATTTATTTAGCTAATAAAGCTAATAAATAAATTCTCTTCCCAGCCAACCATGGTCTGTAGTAAGGGACTTGTCCTCTACCACAAGTGAGAGGTCTGGGACCAAACACCTGTAGCCAACCATTGCAAGCACTGATCTTTGTTTTCCAGTGATGATACTGTTTGGAGGAGAATTCTTACTCCCAGACATAACTCTTTGATGGACTTGATTTCTTGTCATGAGCCCTCAGTTATAAACTGCTTTCATAGCTTGTTTGCTTCTTCCCCAGAGGAACTGTGCTAGGACAAGCTCTTCTTCATCCTGGTATCTGGAGAAACCCAAACTGCCCTGTTGTGGAAAATTTGTATCCCAGCTCTTCCCTGAGTGTTTTGTGTGGTAGGAACCTGGGGGATGTTCCAGGCCATAGGTTGTAGTGTTTTGTTGTGCACGGTTTCAGCAGGTGACTCCAAAGCTGTTCTTAATACTATCAAGCTGAAAGAATATCAGTAAATTGGAGACACTCCAGTTAAGGTTAAATGTTCAACTGTAAAGTTGGAAACTTTAAAAAAACAAAATAAAATGTTGTGCCATTGCCTACCTGGAACTTCACGTTAAGTCACAGCTATTTCTTCACATTTTCGTCCCACAAGGGGTTACTTAGTGTTGAGATAGATCCCAGCAATTATTTCTTTTGGCTGATGTGCTTCTCAAAAAGCAGCCTCTTGCTTTGGTTGTGTTACTTATACCCCTTGCTTCTTTTACATGCAGTTGGAACGTCAGGGAGTGCTCTCCCTTCTCCACTACCACAATGTGGTTATTGTCTCATTTGGCTTGTCTTGGACAGCAGAGATCTGGTGGGTTTTGATCTGGATTTTTTTATATTCTCTGCGTTCCTTTTTTAATTTTTTTTTTTTTTTTGTAATTAACACCTTCTGCAGATGCATTAGGAGATTTCTTTTCATTCCCTTCCATGATCTGGTCTAGGCTTGATGTTTCTGGTTTTTGGTATAACATTCTGAAACATCTGTAACATTCTGATGCATCCACAGTGGATGTATCTCAGGTGTTGAGTGCTCTCAGGACCGAGTTAGAACTCACCTGAAGAGAGCCTGCAAGAAAGAGAGACACTTTACAAGGGCCTGAATGGGCAGGACACAGGGAATGGCTTCCCACTGGCAGAAGACAGGGCTGGATGGGATATTGGGCAAGAATTGTTCCCTGGCAGGTTGGGCAGGCCCTGGCACAGGTGCCCAGAGCAGCACTGGGACAGTGGGAGGTGTCCCTGCCATGACTGGGGTGGCTCTGGGTGGCCTTTAAGGTCCCTTCCAATCCAAACCATTTGGGGATCCTGTGAAAGCTAAAACAGACTTGGGCAGAAACTATTTGTTTTAGCAAAGATAATCCTAGCGTGACTTCTGGTCTGACTGGGACTTCTTCAGATGTTTCCTCCTTACAAAGAGGTGTATTTTTCCCGTTTTGCTTTTAACTTTTAGCAGGATTGGCTCCCTGCGTTCTTTACAAGCCGTATGTGTCCAACATCTGTCATCCTTAAGCATTGCGAAAATCTAGTTTGTTATTCAGACAGTGATTAATTATGAAGCCAGTCTTCTGCATAAAACATAAGCTAACTGCTTTGGAGAGACTCATGAGCAAATGCACGACATGAAATTGCAGAAACAAATAGTCCCACTGAGTCCCTTCTGTAAAGAAGTATAGATGTGAGTCAGTCCATCATTTGATGTTCAGCAGCTGTTCCCAAATGCAAGGGACTACCCATCAGACCAGTGCCATGAATCAGGGACAAGTGTGTAGCCATGGTAGATTCTTAAAATTAAGTCTCAGTTATTTACAAATCAGCTTCAAAAAATGCTCATTTCAATTGAAACTCTTCAAAGTGACATAGTGAGGGAAGAAAGGAGGAGCTGTGCAAATCAGGCACTGCACACCAGACACCCCATCATGTGAGTCGGGCTGTGATAACCTCATCTGGTTCACATCACTTCCAAAAGTCCCAATTATCAAAAACAAAGCTTTACATTCGAAACTGGGGTTCAGATCCTCCCAAACTCTTTCAGAAAGGGCAGATTCCCCTGAGCATGTCCAGAGCTGATCAAATCATTGCTTCAAATTCCATGCCTAAGTAATGCCTTAATATCAGGAAGGATTTAACTGAGTGTATTATTTGCCAAGGAAAAAACACTTTATCCCTAAAACCTTTTTGAGTCATGATACGTGAGCCAGCAGCCAGGCAATCCAGAGGGCAGGAGTGTGCCAGGATCAGAGTGCCAGCATGAGGTGCTGCTTTGTTAGCTGTGGCACAGTGCCTGGGAGCCAAGTGCCCAGTGCAGCCCCATTTTAGACAAAACTTCACTTGGCAGCTCCTTCACCTTTTGCAATATCAAGGAATTTAGGGTTGTTATCCTTGCTCGAGTAAAGGATGCATTTTCATAGCTTTTAGACCTTCATTTACCATCCATCACGGCCCAGCTACTGTGCATTTCTCTCCTTTCACATCTTTGTTTTTTTCTCTAAACACAAAGTTCTGCTAAATATTGCTTCTCAAAACAGCCTGTGGGAGAGAATACTTTAAATTGGTTACACCAGGAATCTTCGTAAAGTAATTCCTAGTGGAACATACAAGAAAAAAAATCAATGTGTGTTTTTATATTGCTGCAAAGCAAGAAGCCTTGAGTTGAACCTGCTGCATTGTACTTTGCCAGCAGACAGTGTTCTTAGTGCTGGATAACCTGTTCAGCAGATCTTGAAATCTCATAAAATGGTTTGAATTTTATTCCATCAGCTTGTTCTGAGGGAAGAGAGGAACGTGTTGGGGCAATCAGTGCAAGTGGATTTGTGTTCACAGGTACTCCAAGATTAATCTTTGTCCACATTTTCATTTCTCTTTCTACTGGCCATGGTTTATTCTGCTAGCAAGCAAGAATTCAGTTAACAGGATATAAAATGGGAAAGAACAGACTTTGACCAGGTTTTCCTTGGCAGAAGCACGTTGGTTTGCCCTTCCTAAGTGACCTGTGATGGTCTAGCAAATCTGTCCAGGTTTTACTGTTTGTTGTGAGGCCTTTTGGAAAGAATTAGGGCCTGGGGATGTTCATTTTTATCTGTACTCTGGCCTGATCTTTCTATGACATTGTACAAGAGACTTAACATTCATCTGTCAGTTTATTATGTCATGGTATTCAGTTAAGTTTGGGCTTTTTTATGACTAAATCATAGTGTATTTGCCAAGATCCTAAAAAGGATTATTGTTCTATGAGCTGGCAGAGAACCAGTGCAGAAGTGTCAGAGGTGCAGAAATGTCATGGCTGGTGCTCACACAGACAACTTAATCCTAAAATTCTTGTGCATCACAGATGAACAAGAGGCCTTGAAGTCCATCATGAAGGACCTGGTGGCACTCCAGATGGGCAGGCGCCACCGGCTGCCTGGGTATGACACCATGAAGAACAAAGACACTGCTCACTCCAACAAACAGGTAATGGGCCAGTTCAGGTGAACACCTGAACTGGTGACACGGGGGAAGACAGGACAGAGCGGGTGGACAGAGGATCTGCTGCCTTGGCTCTGTCCTGTGCCTCCAACAGCCAAAGCATCAGTTGTGAATTAGCTTCTTGACCCTGCTCAGGCTGTGGCAAATATGGTCGTTTTTCTATTTTTTATATTTTTATGTGAGATTAATTAATATATCATATAAGCTGTATATATTATATATTGAATATGCTATATAGTTATATAGTTTAATAAAATATTTAATATGCATTATGTTATATATGTATGTATATATGTGTATTTGATCATTTTGCAACATCTTAATATACTGGATTTTCCCCGTATGTATTTTTTATGGGGTTTGGTCTGCCTAGCTAAAAAATTGAGTGAGTGGCTTTCTGATTTCACAGTCGTAGTTCCATTTTTTAAAGTGATTTTATTCTTTTTTAAAGAAAAAACACAATGCCAGCAGTCCCCCACTCTTGGGCAGCCCTGCAATAATGAACCAGTGTGCCTCTGCAGTGGAAGAAAAAAAAATTCCGGTGAGAAAACTGGCTCCATTTCCATATTAGCAATTATGAATTAGGAGTCTTCAAGTTGTGTGCAGTGACTTTATGGAATTTCTTTAAGCAGGTGGGAGGCAGGGAAAGCTTTTCTTCCCTGACTCTGTCCTGGTGTAGCAGTGTGTGCACATTTCTTGTAGGGTCAGGACAAGGGGGAAAGGCCTTAAGCTGAAGGAGGGCAGGGCTGGATGGGATATTGGGCAGGAATTGTTCCCTGGCAGGGTGGGCAGGCCCTGGCACAGGGTGCCCAGAGCAGCTGGGGCTGTCCCTGGATCCCTGGCAGTGCCCCAGGCCAGGCTGGACAGGGCTGGGAGCAGCTGGGACAGTGGGAGCTGTCCCTGCCATGGCAGGAGTGGCTCTGGGTGGCCTTTAAGGTCCCTTTCCACCCAAACCAGTCCGTAACTTCCAAGATAATGAGTAGTGGAGTCAATGCTTTCAAGTCTTTTAAGGTTCATTCCTCATTTCTCCAGACTTTTTCCTGGAGAAAACGATGGTATCAATGCTCTGGTAAGAAGGAAGGGCAGAATAATGCAGCTTTGTCTGGAGATGCTGAATGGCATTTAAATGAAATGCTTCAAAGCCTTACTTTCCTGAAAATCCTGATATAAAGCAATCATTCCTTCATGCAATGTGTCTAAGAACAACTTTTTGATCAGGAGTTGCCTGGTAGACATCTTTTATAGGATGTTATTCCTGTGCTTTTTGCTGCATTGTTCCTTTACTGCTCAGTTCAAATGGGTTCTCTGGAATTTGTTTCATTTTGGAGTAATTCTAGACCTAGTTCTTTCTCTTCCCATATCTGAAAAAACACTCTTTAAAATTATGTGTGAATGACCCACGTGCAGCTGGTCATTGCTGGGATTGGGAAGGTCATTTCCCAATGCTGTCCCTCCAGCACTGCTGCAGGAATTCCATGTACTCCCAGGGACTCCATGGATCCTTTTGAACTGCATTCTTGACCACTGGGCCTGCCAGAAACTTCCTCCAGCTAAAGAGCATTTCCTGGCCATGTTTTTTTGAAGTTCCTAGATGTATGATTGCCTATTGTCTGAGACTTTCACAGATGGTTTAATCTATTCCAATCACATAAATTGTGCAGCAGAAATGATGGAGTCTTATCAGAGCAGAATTTTCCCTTCTATTTTTATCTTTCTGACCTAAATTGGGATTTGAACTGTGATGTCCAGAGTTGAAAGTTCAGCTTGTTGACTCCTCCATGCCACTCAGCATCTTCTGAGTTTACAGTGACTGCACAGGTTGCACAGTCAGTGCTTTTAACTCTACAGATGGTGCTGATGACCCTTTTGCTAAAACCTTAGAATTTTAAAAGATGGGACAGAATCAGCCTGTTTGTAACTCTGAGTTTCAGGGACTGCATTTTTGCAAAAGGAGAGATTAAGTCCATGTCTTAAGAATAAAGAATAATAAATAGGAATACAAATTTTAAAATATGAGTAGGAATAAAAAATGTAGCACGTTCCCTCTCTCTTTTTTGCCATATATGCTTTGAGCATGCTTAAAGAAAGTTAACTTCAGATTAATAAGCAGTCAGGACTGAATTTCAGATTTTTCCTATGCAGTGTTAAAGATAAATTAATATTTTTTAAAGTTTATTTCAATGTCCTCTGTTTCAAAGTGTCAGTTTACAAAAATTACAGCTTGGTTTTTCCACTTTCCTTCTCTTTCTCCTTCAGCAGTTTGTTATGTTCACGTATCAGCCACTTGTTTCCACAGCCTGCTTAAGCTTCCATGGAGAAAGTTAAAATACTAAAATCATAATGCAGTGCATTTGTGTGCTGTTGTGTGCCAGAGTTTCATTGTGAACTCACCTTTTGTTTTTTCTCCTGCAGAATGATGTCAGGATAAAGTTTGAACATAATGGGGAGAGACGGTAAGTTGGCCTTCACTGCTTTGATTCTTTGCTTAGGAGAGTGATTCAGTCATCAGTAATTTAGCTTAAATATTTTGTTGGCTTTGCTTTCCCTTTTCCTGAATGGAAATCACACAGTGAAGGCAATAGCAAACAGGTCACACACAACTTGGTTATTTTTAGAGATCAGTGTGTCATAAAACACTGATTTATTTCCATAATACTTATTTGTAAGTGAAGTGCAGCATTTTTAAAAGCTGTCCAGCCTGAAACAAGTTCAGCCTGAAAATCTTATTTGAGATACATTCCCATTTTGTTTCATTTAACTGAAACCAAATGAAGCTGATCAAATCAGCGTCATTCTTTTCTAGTTTCTCACTTCCTGATGTCCTGTCATTATCACTGCCCTGCTGTGATTGAGCAATAGATACAACAAGGAAAGATTTTTTTTCATTGGTGTAAAAGCTTCTTTGTTATTTCCTCTGATATTTGGTTTCGAGAGACATTCTTTTAGAAGAAAAAAACAGAAATAACTGAAATAGCAGTTTCGGTTTTTAAAGCAATGTTTGCAATGGATAAAATTGCTGAAATATTTCAAAGTAGGTTCCAAAAAGCCTCTTATTTGCTATTGAATTGAGAGGAACTCTTGAAACTCTTGAATTTAGTGGCTGGTGGCTGTGTGAACGCTCAGGAAGGCTCCAGGTTTGTCTGTGGTCTCTGGGTCTGGTCTCACTGAGGGAAAATGTGATCTTGATGCTGGGTTAGTGTCCATATTTTGAAAGATACTGATTGGGTTGTAAGCAGGAATGTATGTGCCATCTTCACAGCCAGCTTGTGGAAATCCTCTGCTTTCTCCCAGGCCAGGCAGTACTTCTAACATTGAAGTGGTTCACTATTTCATGATGAATTACAAATTTAATGTCCATGGTACAGGAGGAGCAGTTAGTAGTAGTGATCCTCACAGCCTGTTCCAGCAGAGGTTATTGGCCAAGTTGTTGAAGCTTCTCCTTTGTCAGATTTTGGGATTTCTGTTAGAAAAGCAGAAGTGTTCTTTGTTGGCAAAACAGGCTGTGGAGAATAATTTCTACTCTTCCTCAAAACTTGAACTGTTTCTTCACTGCAATCCTACGTGATGAATTCTGTCAGTGACATTTGTGCTGTGGGAGAAATTTTACAGGTAATCATCACCAGGATTTGCTTCCTCCTTTTTCAGCCAGGTGTGCTCAGCACTCTGCTGGGTCAGGGGCTTTGTGGGAACAGCAACAGAGCCACAGTGGGACATGTCACACTGTGTCAGGGCAGGGGAGCTCAGCAGCAAAATCCTGTCACCACAGGCTGATCATCTTGCCTGTCTGCTGGGTGCATTTCGGGGGGCAGAAGGGTTTTCTCCTGGGTTTTTTTTCTAAAATGAAAAGGTTGATTGTGTGTCAGTCTAATTATGCAGTTGTGCTGGCCTGAGTTCCCTGCTCCCAGCACTGTGTGCAGTTCCAGACAGGGAGCTTGCACCAGAATGTCAGTGTGTGTGCTCAGTTTCACAGGAGCTGCCAGATCTAACCACAAATATTTAGGGTGGTCAGGCAGGAATGGGCTCCTTAAACCCTGCAGTCCAGGATTTTGTGTTAGAAGAGTGCACAGAGTTTTTAAACTAATAAAATTTGTGGCACCTGAGAACAGCAGTGCTTTTGAAAGCACTGAGTGTAGAATGGGAGCCTTTATAAGGGCCTGAGAGCCACACTGCATTTGTGTGGTGCCAGAGTACTGTGATTTCATGTATGGATTTCCTAGGAAAATGTAGAAAATGTTATTATGGGCTGCTTTTTAACAAGGACAATTATTTCCGAATAGCTGAATGTTGTAGGTCTGGTAGCAAGATAACCCTTCATGGGGAGAGGCTGAGGAATCCAGCTAACACAAGGGTTATTTAAAACAAAAGTTTCATCTCTTGAAGGGATATCCAGGGCTGATGAAACTGTGTGGATGAATGCCTGGGAAACTAAGTCTTCTCTCCAAAGCACAGGTTCATCAGAGTCATAGGACCCCAGGATGGTTTGGGTTGGAAGGGACCCCAAACACTCAGTGCCACCCCCTGCCAAGGGCAAGGGCACCTCCCACTGTCCCTGGATGCTCCAAGCCCCGTCCAGCCTGGCCTGGGGCACTGCCAGGGATCCAGGGGCAGCCACAGCTTCTGTCTATGGCCCCTACAGAAAGCCTCTCTCCCTCCTGTCCCCACAAACCCTTGGGAGATCATTCAGGCTCTCACTGAGTTGCCTCTATGAGCAAGAACAGGTCTTGAGTTTCCATGGTCTACTCAGTAATCTGGAAGTCCAAACAGTCCCTTGATCATTTGTTGTGTGCTGATGTAGCAAAAGAAATAGGAGGAAGATAGATATAAAAAAATCTGGAAGTTCTTTGGTTGGAACTGATCTTTTTTCAGAAAGTTAACTAGCAAAAATTGCATTGGAAAGAACACTAATCTTCCAATTGAGGACAAAAAGTATTACCAGATATTAGAATAGTCCATGTGTGAAGAGGATCTTGGATTGTTTAGCCTGGAGAAGAGGAGGCTCAGGGGAGACCTTGTTGTATCCTGTTATTTCTGCCTCGTGACAAGTTTGTTAGTTGGTGCTCACAATCCAGCTTTTTGTGGCAGTATCTCATCTGTGCCAGAGCAGGTGGTATTTTTTAAGCCAAGGTGCACATGGCATTTGTATCCTGTTATGAGAAAGACATTTATTCAAAAAAGGGTACTTTTCTGCCCAGGGACCAAGGGATTTTATTTGAAATCTCCAGCTGAATATTGCATTTTGACAAACTGTATGGAAATGGGCCAGAGATTATTACTTATTGAAATTATACATACAGATTTAAATTTGAAAAGTTCACTACTTGCTTCAGGATGAAAGGAGACCATTCAAATGTGGTTTTAATGGTTCAGCCATGTGATTTGATTGCATTATCAAGTATATCTCTGAACTGAGTCAGTGATTCTCTTTCCTCCCAGGATTATCCCATTTGTCCGTCCTGTGCGCTACGAAGATGTGCAACAGAAAGTGAAAACAGCCTTTGGGCAGCCCCTGGACCTCCACTACATGAACAACGAGGTACTGAGCTGTCAGTGCTCTCTGCATGACACCTCCTTTCCCCATCACAAATTCTGTACCCAGAAATTTCATTTTCGGGTCTTCCTTTAATACAAACCATTGTTGAATCCCTGAACAAGAGGCAAATGTGCTGATCCTGATAAAGCATCTCACTGATGTGTGTGTTGGACAAACATCACCATCTTGTTCACTTGTTCTGGTGTTGCTTAGGACATTCTCTTTCTACCTGAAACACAGTTTTCACTTGATCATTAGTTCTGGCTGTGTAAGTATTCTGAGACCACTTTCTCATCAGAGAGTCTGGGGCTGACAAGTCTCAGTTCTTTGCAAATGGCAAATCCAGGTAGCAATTAATACTTTTGTGGGTGATGCTTTAGAGGGGTTTGCATTAGGATGAGCCATTTCTCTGACATGGGAGGAAAACCTCATTAAAAAGAACAGTAAGACAGCATTGGAATGAAAACTTGTGGAATAACTGAACGGTCAGAATCCTGTTTTATAGTCTGATATTTTTCTAATTTTGTTTAAATACCTGTTGTAAAAGTAGACTTTTTTTTCTGTCTTTTCTGGTGATTTTTCTCCCTGCTCTTTATTTTGCAGCTCTCTATTCCTTTGAAAAACCAAGATGACCTGGATAAAGCTGTAGATCTCTTAGACAGGAGCTCGAATGTGAAAAGCCTGAGGATACTATTGCTGTCCCAGGACAGAAACCATGTAGGTAACAACTTCTGGGACTGCAGCAAAATCAAGGGGCTTACCCTTAAGACTCTAAAACACGATGGCTGCATGAACTGAGTGTGACAGGGATTATAAAATCATCTTCCCTGGCACAAGTGCATGTGTTTATCCTCTTTGCGTTGGCTCAGCTCTAGGTGTCTTTGTGTTGTTTTATTTCCCTGACTTCAGCAGCTGTTTGGGGGCTAAAACATTGCAGCTTTTTAATCTGTCACGTGAAGACCATTTTATATCAAATACCCAGTGGCTGTAGGCAGAAAACACTTGATGAGTTTGGTTTACAGGGAAGTTTTATTAGCTTTGATTAATAGCACAGTCTTGAAAATGTGTGGAATTATTTTGCCTTTACAGTGCAGGCTGTCCTTGAGGAAAAGCTGTTAGCACTTTTTTCCCTGGGTGAGAAGCCCAGGGAGAGCTTCCAGTGGTTTTTCAGCTCTGTAGCCCTAATGCACTGAGTCCAGCCCCACTCTGGAAACACAGAGCTGCCTTTGCTAATAGTGGTGTATTCAGACCTGAGATAAATTGGGTTGTCTCTTGGTTTACTCTCCTCTACCACAGGTGGCTGTGGCAGTGAGTGTCAATGTAGTTTGCTTTTTTCAGCGGACAAGATCATAATATGAGAAATACATCTTTTAACTCAAGCTCCCAAAGATGCCCATTTTGGGCAGTGATTAAACTGCAGGCCGGAGAAGGCAAAAAGAATCAGAATTTTCCCTTATTCCTGATCTGTGTGACTGGATAACACAGTTCACTCAACCAATATCTCTATTTTTTTTATTTTTCTTCAGAATTAAGGTCATGCAGCTTTTCAAACCAAAAATCTCAATAGCTTAGATATTTGATTTGCAAATTACCACATTCTCCTAAAGAATGTGACACAAAAAGCTGCTCTGTTGGTAGCAGCTTGTCATTCTGGCATGTTCATCCCTATTCAAGTTCTTCAGGCTGGGAGCTCAACTCTTGAAATAATCACACCTGTAATTCTTGGAACTGTCATGATATCTTAAATGTATTTCTTGCTGTTTTTTTCATTTGATAATCTGTGGTAATGGAAATACAAAGAACTCCAGGAGTGTTAACAGCCCTTTCCCAAATGAGTGGGAAGGTGTAGGAGGGGATGATGCTGTTCCTTGTCCTGTGCCCTTTCCCTTGGCAATTGTTGCTGCCTGTTCTGTAGACAATACTTGGCAAGAAGGTCTTTGGTCTGACCTGGTGGAGTCAGACCAAAGTTCTGTGTTGTCAGGAAATGTCCTGTAAAAGGTGGCCTCAACTTTTGGTACAACACAGTCAGGCAATGCTCTTTCCCAGCCCTGTGCTCTTGTCAGTGCCATCAGGCTGCAGCCAGATGTCAAGTGATGCCATCTAATTCTGCATAACCAGCAAACACTTGGTAAATCTCACCCTGTGCCAGCCAGTAGCCACTGTTGATGTCTTTTTATGAGCTGTTTTTTCCTCTTTTACTCAAAGCAGAAACAAACAGCGAAGCCTTCAGTAAGTGCCAGTGTTTCCCCCCCTCTCCTCCAACTTCCTCTGCAGCTCTGAGTTGCCTGACAGGAGAGCCCTCCGTGGGATAAAGCCCACTAGCCTGAAGGAGGTTTCTTGGCTGCATGATCTCATCCCACTGGAGGAGCGGGAAGCATTATTTTTCCTGAAGTACAGGATGCAGATTTTGTTTTGGTTCTGTTCTTTTTCTGGGGATGGAAAGGTGACTTTGGCACAAATATGTACAGAAAGCAAATGAACTTTACAGAAGTAGCCAGGTCCCTTGTACTAGGAGTCTGTGTCTGTGAGCAGCACTCAGATTCATTTTCTTATGCCTCTTTCTGCGACTCATTTATTTTCTCAGTCAGGTCACCCTGCTGCCAGTCTCTTCTTTATGTTTAGAAACTGGTGAGGAGAGCTGGTGAAGTTGGAGCAGCTGTATTACCAAAGCCAGACTGTCCATCAGCAGGGTGACCTCTGCACCCTTTATCCAGCTCCCATGAACCTGCCCATGGTAGAGTTTATGTGACTTAAATCAGATTCCTTTCAAGTGTATGTACTCATTAAATGAGCAACCATCAGTACTTTAATATTGAATTAAAGAATTTGAATTGTCACACCTTGTTTGCCTGTCATGTCCAAATAATTTTCAGAAGTCAGAATTTATTTCCTTGAAGTGTCTTTTGTTATGTTCTTCTCAAATAAGATAAATTCTGTAACTCAGGAGGAAGGGAATATTACACCTTCTTGTAAAACTAGGTGTGTTGGGTCAGGGTGAAAATTGAAAGTGTCTGTAGGTATTGAGCCCCTGCTTTAACATGGAATCTCGTTGGCTTGGGGGAGATTTCACGTGTCTCGTTCCTCTTCCTGATTTGAATGAGATGAGGGCTCTGTGGAAAAATTATCTTTAATTAGATAATATCTATGTAAGTTCAGGGAAAGATGAATAAATTCATCTTGGCATCTCCAGACTGTGGGTGCTATTAAACTCTCCAGAATTTATTTTTACTTAGTCTGAATTACAAATTTACTTTTTAAAGCCTGTGGGGAGTCAGTTTGCTTCTGAAACAGTGCAAGACTCAGAATTTATCTCTGCTGGCCAAGGTGGCTGATGGAAATTGTAGGTGCTTCTGTGTTCTGGTCTCAGGGGGTGACAGGAGCCCCTCGTGTTTCATTGGTACCTGGTAGTGTCAGACCCTGAGACCTGCAGATCATGCACGTGAGTTGAGCTGCACTTGTTCTAGTGCTCTGACTCCTGTTTTACACCAGAATTGTAAACCTGGCTCTTTTGCTGCCTTTGTGTTTTCTGAATTAATAAGATTTCAGGTTCTAGAACTGTTGCTCAGCACTTTCTTGATACTAAGCATAATATTTTTGAAACTGTGGCCAGGCTGCTTGAGCTCCTTCATCTCACTTTATTTTGTTTTATTCTTTTCATTTTACCCAACAGACCAGTTCTTCACCCCATTCTGGACTGCCCAAGCAAGTCAGGATTAAAACTTCCCAATCTGTGGGGGATGTGAGCACACCCTATCAGCAGCCAGAACCCAGAAGTAGGCATCTGTCTGTCAGTGAGTATTTTTGCTACTTCTGGGTGTTTTTGTTGGTTGAAATGTATCTTTTGGGCACTAGTGTTCATGGTATTAGTATTTAGGAGAGCCATGAGAAATTGAAAGGTTATTCTGGGACAAGGCAGTTCATTTTCAAAAGCTCTTAATGTGTTTACAATAGAATGTTTCAAGGTTCCTTGCTAAGCTGTGGAGCAGCTAAGGAGCTGCTAAAGGGGATGTCCTAAAGCCAGAGCCATTGTGGTTAGAAATCTGGAAAGCTGATGTGAGTCTATTAAGCTTTTTATTTAGATTGGCAATTTCAGTTCATGAAACCTAGATTTGATTTTTTTTTTTGTGTGTGTTGGGCTTTGGAATCTGTCCTGACTCCTGTAATCAAGCATTTTACTAGGAATTACTATTGCATATCCACCTAGTATCCTACATTCTGAGTTGCCTAAACTTCCACTCTCGGAATTATTGGGTGAGTGGAGTACAAGACAAAATCAGAGGTGCACAAAAGATAATGAAAAAGATCAGAGTAGTATGTAACTTTGTCTCATTCCTTTGGGTTTCTGTTAGCTCAGTGAAATCCTGTTTAGGGGAAAGGTTCATGTAAGACTTCTGTAGTTTTTATGACTTCCATCTCTGACAGATTTGTCTGATTTCTCCCAATTTCTATGTTACAATCTTCTGTATAACCGTACAGCACAATTCAGATCTGTTGTTCAACAATGCTCAAAGCTGATAACCTTTATATGAAAAACTAAAACATGTAAAACACCTTCAAGGATTCATGGGCCCTAAAAAACCCAAAATAGTCTGTGGTTTAGGATTTGACTCCTTGCTATGAATCTCAGTGAGCAGTGAAAGCACAGGATGGAGGTGAGAGTGTGAAGGCCAGAGCCTGAAATGCTGCTCTGTGTAAACTATTTCTCCTTCAGAAACGAGAGAAAGTGAATTTTGCTGGAAACACAAGCAGAGGATGACTCTGTTTGTTACAACAGCTATTTTGGGGCTTGTCAGAACTAATGCCTGAGGACAAGTGAGGCAAGTCACAAAGGGCAGTAGCAGGAGCTGGGAATGTCAGAGTTGTTTTGTTTGCAAGTTCTTCACTGTGGCAAAAGAGTGCTTTAGTTTCATTAACTGTGTGAACTTGAGGCAGAATTATTACATGATTTTAGATCAATATTTGCAGTGCAAAGTATCAAATAATAAATCAGCTTAAACCACAACAGTCTCCAATCTGGGGCATCCAAACCAGAGCTGTATCCACACTATTGTAACCAGAGGTAACTGGGAGAATGAGCTCAGAGGGAAGGATTTGGGAACTAGAGCAGTAGTTCTCAGTGTGGGATTTGTCTAACAAACCTGCTTGTATCCTATTGAGAGTTTGCTGTTCCCCTTCTCTACAGTTTGCTTTTGTGAAGCAGCAAACCAACAAAGAAGTACTGAAAGCTTATGAAGTACGTGACTGAAATGGGGACAAAAAGACTTTTCCCTTCCTTCCTAGTTTGAAATTAATATGCATAAAAAGAGCAACATTCCTTGGTCCTGAGAAGTGGTATCCATGCGTGTCTGACCACATTTCTTCTATAACAGACAAATTGAATGCCAAAATTACTTTATTTAAAATACATCTATATGTATCTTTCTCCTTACTGACATTCTGAGGTATCCAGATAATGGTGCCAAAGCCAACAGACTGTACAAGTGTCTGTCACGGGTAAACTGTGCAGTAACCAGGAGCCTCTTCTGTGTCCCAGTTACATACTGGGACACTCTTGTCCCAGCTTATGCATGCTTTCTGAATAGCTTGTCGTTCATCAGTCAAGAAACCATTGGTTTTATTTTCTGAACGTCAGAGTACCAGACTGTTACATTATGAAGAGGTCCAGGAGAGTTCCAGTTTTGTCAGAGGTCTGCTGGTAATTTGGCAATAGCTTGGTCTTGCATCAGTTTCTTCTTCCTTCTCTTTTCCTGTCTTTGGTTTGGAAAAGGAATGTGCCCTGTTTCCTGGTGTTTCAGGCATAAACACTCTCCAGCTCATGAAATAAAGTCCAAAGCAGTGTTCAACTAAAGCTTTTTGCAAGCAGGAGAGGGTCCTGTGTGGTTCCTGAGCTCCAAACGACCTCGAGCCTGTTGTCAGCGCTTCAGAGCTTTGGAAGTAAAGATAACTTTCATTTAAAAAAAAAAAAAAAAAAAAAAAAAGTTGCTAAGCATTCTGGCAGGGCTTATGTTTTTTCCACTCACTTCCTTTGATATACATGGATTTAGTGCCGACTTCCTTTTCCTGCCCAGGGATGGGGCCTTTCCACAGCAGCAGCTGGGCCGGTGCCAGCGGGCCTGGGCTCGCTGTGGCCGTGGCATCTGTCGGAAGGAGTGAAAGTGCTCCTGGGGCAGCCCACGTGCACCCAGGGCTTTCCACCCCTCCTGAGGGCACATGAGCCCTGGGCCCTGCTTGGGAAATCAGCTGCTAGCTCTGAGCAATGGATTGTGGACTTGACAGTCTTGGGCTTCGTGATCTTGGAGTTCTTCTCCAGACTTACGATCTTAATGATTTTATTAATCCCTTCTTTTTAATGTGTAGTTCACTCCCCTTGCACTCTAAGCCATGTCAGCGTTCTTTGTTTTCCTTCTGCAGCCCCCTGAAAGGTGTGTGCTCTGCTTTTCAGTTCACTTCTCCCAGCTCTTTGCCTTCGCTCTTTATTACAACTTCTATAGAAAATATTTTCCTTGGGAGAATATTTGCTGATCTTTACCCATCTTTCCTAGCACCTGAGTACACACAGTTAATTCAAGACAGTGTTGTAAGGAGCACAGCTTGAGAGCTGATCTTCACCTGCTGCCTCTGGCTTCATGTGTGACCTTGAGCAGATTGGTTGGACCACAGCAGTTTTTGGAGCTCACAGTGGGAATTGGTGGCAGCTGCAGGTGGATAGGTCACTGCAAAATGGGGATTTTTTTTTTTTTCCTGTGTCTAAAGTTTCATCTTCTTTGAGCTCTGCAAAGGAAAAATAAACCCTAAGGGTAAAGCTTCTCTCTGTAGATAGCACAAGAGAAACTCTTTAGGTAGTGCCACTAACAGATGATTAAACTGGAATTATGCTCAGAAGGTTGAGGTTAGAAATAGGTGACTGCTTTGCCAGGAGCTTCAGCAACAATCACGTAGCATCTAAAACATCAGTCCAGGTGCACATCACACAGTTTGGTTCTCGTGGTTCCGTGTCTGTCCAGACTGTAGGGCTCACTGTGGAAGCAGGGGGGTGCTAGGGGCGGTTTGGGGGTTGGTGTGTGCAGCAGTGGCAGCAGCAGCAGGGTGACACTGTCCCTGTCACAGGCTCCCAGAACACGGGCCGCAGCTCTCCCCCGCCCGGCTACGTGCCCGAGCGGCAGCAGCGCATCGCCCGCCAGGGCTCCTACACCAGCATCCACAGCGAGGGCGAGTTCATCCCCGAGACCAGCGAGCAGTGCGTGAGTACCGGCAGGGAATCATCGCAGCCGCTGGGAGGGCATTCTGCCGGGAGCGGGGCCCTCTTCTCTCCTCCCAGTGGAAAATACTCACTGGCTGGGGTTGCATCAACACCTTCAAGTGGTGAGGCACAGGTTGTCCAGAAAGTTGTGGCTGCCCCATCCCTGGAAGTGTCCAAGGGCAACCTCAGAGCAACCTGATCTAGTGGAAGGTGTCCCTGCCCGTGGCAGAAAGTGGAGTTGGATGACCCTTAAAGTCCTGTCCAACCCAAACCATTCTGGGATCCTAAAAGTGCTGCTTTGTGTGTTTGAGCAGCTTCAGATTGTAGCTATGTAAGTTCAAAGCGTTTGTTGGGCTGCCAGAAGCCGTTCCCTGCTCTGGGCATTGCCCCTCCACCTCTGACTGAGCAGTTTTGGTGCTGTCACACATGTGGCTGGGTTTCCTATTAGCAGGTTTGTGTGACCCTCTTGCTTTTGAGACTCTGCTCTCCATTCAACAAAGTGGGAAGTGAGGCCAAAGGGCACCTTGCAGGTGGAGGCAGCAGCACCAGCAGAGACTGTTCCTGGAGCTGGTTGGGATCAAAACGCAGCACAAGGCTGCTAAAGCTTGCATCTTCCACAGCAGAGTCCTTCAACAACTAAAGCAGTGCCTCAGATTTTATATGAACCTAATTTCTGTGGGAGATAAAAGAAAATTATGCATTTAAATAGGCTTAGATACCCTTCTTCAGCTGGACATCCTGCAGGCAAGCAGTCGTGGGCTCTGTTCCTCTGGCACAGCCTCTCCTGGGCCCTGGACTGCGCTGATGTTGCTGTGTGGTTTTTTTCTGTGTTGCAGATGCTGGACCCTCTAAGCAGTGCTGAAAACTCAGTGTCAGGAAGCTGCCAGTCCTTGGACAGGTGAGCAGCCAGGTACAAATGTACAGATTGGTGAGAACGTGTGTGCTCAGATGGAAATACCAACTGTACTTACATAAAATCCTATTTTCTATCTCATACATTTTCTAGGAGAGAAACGAGAACTTACTTCCTACCTATAACCCACTTATTTCTTAAAAACCATTAACTGTATCTTAAGGCTGTGTTGTTTTCTGGCACAACCACAGACCAGCAAACTGGTGTTCAGTAGCTTTATGTTATAAATACAAAGTTCTAAAGCAAGCAGCGTGTGTGGAGCCACTGCTCTGAGAACATCTGGCTGCAGGGTATTTAAATCTCTTTTAGACAAGGCTGTACTTGTTCATTTAAAAAATAAAACAGCAAAGAAATACCCCAAACAAGAGCAAAACTGATTCTTGCCTTCTTTCTCTAATAGTCCTTCTTTTCGGAAGTCACGGATGTCGAGGGCACAAAGCTTTCCTGATAACAGACAGGAGTTCTCAGGTATGTCTTTGGTGCAAGGGGTATCTGATCCTGACATTTTCTGCTCTTGCCTGGCTGTCCTCTCTGCTTGTTGGGATTGTATAAATAGAATCATCCATATCATCCATATCATCCATATGCTGATGGAAAAGCTATGAAGTTAATTATTGCCTCTTCCTAAAAACTTGCTGTTACAGGAAAATTCTGTCATTAGAAGTTAAGTTTTTTGAAGGAGCCTCACTTTTGTCTTTGCTTCTCCTGCCAGACCGTGAGAATCAGATCTACGACAAAGCGGGCAAAGGTGGGACCTACCCTCGGCGCTACAACGTCTCCATACAGCACAAGGACTACAATGAGGGTGAGTCTGTCTCAGAGCTCCCATGCCAGGCTGGAAAAAAAGGGTGAGGCAATGGCAACTCCTGTTTGGAGAGCCTGGAAGTGCCTTGGTCCTTGCAGTTAGTGCTGAGGTTGATGCTGCTGTGCATGATGCCACAATTTGATGGAAACCAATGGTTGTTGTTTGTAATTCTTTATTTACTTTGTCCTTTCTGGGGTTATCCAGGCTGAGAAGGGGATTGTGGACGTACATAGGGCTAAGTTGTTAGACTTGGCCTTATATATTAGGGTTGGCCCTATAAAAGTAGTTTTCTACCACAGAGATTCATTATACTTTGCTAATTTGCATTGTAGGCTTGCTTCTGGATCTTTTAAATATAGCAGGGACTTAAAGAATTACGTCTCTGCTCATCAGATGGCTTTATGCAAATTAATCTCTTAAAATTTTGTGAGGTACAAGTTGGCACAATCTTTGTTCATGGTTTCTATTTGCTCCTCCAGGCACATTATCTAGAAAGTCATTTTGCATGTAGTTGTTAACAAAACTCAGAGCTTGTGCTCAGAGGCTGTAAACCAGATTTTTCCTTTGGAAGGTAAGTTTAGATCTTACAGCACTGAGGGCATTACAAAGTGTTCTCTGCCTTCTGCTTTGGGAATGATCCAGAGCTATACTGAACTCAGGCAGCACCAGCCCTGAGCCGTTACATTTTTGCATCTCGTCTGTTTGGCAGCAGATTCTGCTCCATGGGAACAGAGCAGAACGTGGGATTTCTCTCCCTTCTTGCTGCTGCTCAGCCCCCAGCTATTACCTTCCACTCACAAGCATTTATTCAACAGCGATATGTTTTCCCCCAGGCCGGAGGACTTTTCCCCGGATACGACGTCACCAAGGGAATCTCTTCACCTTGGTGCCTTCCAGCCGTTCACTGAGCACCAATGGAGAAAACCTGGGCCTGGCTCTGCAGTACCTGGACCCGCGGGGCCGCCTCCGGAGCGCCGACAGCGAGAACGCGCTGGGAGTGCAGGAGAGGAACATCGCCACCAAATGTAGGCACTCCCTGGGAAACGTCACCCAGCTGTGGGCAAGGAAGGCTCTGAGGGTGAACTCCAGACCCAATACCTTGCCCTAATCTGGCTTTAACAAGCCACTAAAACCATGTTTTCCTCTGGCTGTGCTTTGAGCCTCGTTTATCGCACCCACAAGACAAATCTTTTCCTCTCAGATTTGTGCTGGGAGCTGGCCTTTCCTTTAGAAAGCATTGCGAATTCAACTAAGAAGTAAAAAGCCTTGCTTGATCTAGGTGATCTACAGGGTTCTTAAAGCAGGCAGACAAGCTTGTTTATTTTCTTGCTACATTAACATTTTCAGTCAGGCTTTTGGGTTACAGTTATTCTGCTCCTTGAGAAGTATGTATTTCTCTTGCTCCTAAGTTAGAAGGGTTTACTTCTGTATTGATGACATCCTTGAGTTGTTTTGTTGGACAACTTTCTATTATAAAAATAAAAGAAATGGAACATGAGTCATTATTGATGAACTTCAGATATCCCATAGTAATTTAAGGATAAAAATGAAGAGTAAGCTTGTAGCAGAGTAAGGAACACACTAAAATACTGACTGGCAGTAAATCTGATTAAATTAGACATGGCAAAGCTAATCTCTCAGCTCTTCTGTATTTTCACACTGGTAAGATGGTTCCTGTCTTTGTTTTTAAAGTTTCTTGTTAGATCCAGTGTAATTGGTTGCACTGCACTGCAGGAGTCTGATAGTGTTGCTTTCCCAGTTGGAGCTAAAGCACTGGTCTTTGAGTAACATGCTTTAGGATTAAGGGCAGTCTGAAAAACTGGGCTCAGGTATTAATCTCTGGGTCAGGAGACTGCTGCTTATGGAATGTTGGAATGTGAGGGCTCCTAATGCCCTGGGGATGGAACCTCCTGCTGGGGTGTTGGAGGTGCTCCTTTACCTGGGTCTCGTGGGTATTTTTATTAAGACTGGCTGTTCAGCAGGTGGAGAAGATACCCACACTGTGCTGACATGGTGCCTACTCTATTAATGTCTAGTAGGGAATTAGGACTCCTAGTCTTTCTGGTTAGAGACAGCCTTGCAGTGAAATCCTTCCCTCAGAGGTAACCCCAAGCTAACTTGGCAAGGAAAACTCAGGATAATGTCCTTCAAGTTGTCCCAGAAGCTTAAGTCATTCCCAGCTGCTGGGATTGGTTTAGCAAGGCTAATCCAGCTCTTCATCTGATGCGTGTGATAATGACAGATCAAGGGTTGGAAACTGCTCTTTAGTTGCAGCATCATCTCTGAAGGTAGTGATTTTGTAGAATCCACCTGCTGGTGGAATGTAATTTCACCAGCTCCATTGGATAACTTGTCTGTAAAACACATTTGCAAAATGTTTTGGGGTGTCATTCTAATGGGACAGCAGTCAGCAGATGCTGAGTCTGGATGGCTGAATTCTGTTCAGAGCTCTGCCACTAACTCCTTACTATGGGAAAGCACCCCCTGTGTATTCAAGTACAGAATACCTGGTTCAGTCCTACTATGATGGAGGTTAGTCCTGGAAAAACCCACCTTTGTTTTTAAATAGTATAATGAAATTAACTGCTGTTCTCTTTTAGCTCCAAGTGCTCCAATAAACTGGCGCCGAGGAAAACTGCTGGGCCAGGGAGCCTTTGGTCGCGTGTATTTGTGCTACGACGTGGACACGGGCAGAGAGCTTGCAGCTAAGCAGGTCCAGTTTGATCCAGAGAGCCCTGAAACAAGCAAGGTAATTCTCATCCCAGCTTCTAAAACCTTGTAAGGTCCTTTACAATGTCTCTCTCTGTCTGTCCTTGAAAGCTGGCATCTTACTTAGTTTCTACTAAGGTTTCAAGTCATGTGGAGAAGAATAGGAGTCATTTAAAAATTACTTTTCTGTGTTAGTAACTTCAGCCTGAAACTAAAATCCATTTTCTGGCTTCATTCTTGGCTGTCCTTTCTCAGCTTTTTGGGTCTTTGCCAGGTTACTTGAGGAATACTAGACTGCCCTGTGTTCCTGGTTAGACATGGATGTGAATGAAACTAAACCCAGTAAGAGTAGGGCTTTTTTTTTTTTTTTTTTTTTAACAGTAAAAGCTGCTTACACATGCAAAACCCAATTCTGGGTATATGGTGCACTCTGTATGAAGTGCACTAATTACCAATTTTCACTTCTGAATTTTCTGTTTCCTTAAAAACATTGAGCTGTGGGGTGTAAATTAACCAATAAAAGTGATGTGACAACACTTTAGAGACAGTGGAGATGGGACAGACACCTTGAAATTACGGGACAACACTCAGCTCCCTGCACAGGGGTTACAGCTGGAATGGCTTTTGGGTTCTTTGCTAGTGTTCTAACAATGTACCAGTTTCCCAATATTGAACAAATTCACTTTGAGCTAGAATAACTGATCCATGAAGATTTAATTATTCTGATTTTATATGGCATATTGGTGCCAAGATATGTCCTAAATCGGGAAGTTCTACTATGTCTGTGTTGTAAATCAGACAGTAACTCTGAGCCAAGGAGGAACAGTCTGAAATACATTTTGAAAGCACTGAAACTCCAAGCTTTAAACTATTATTTGGACTGATTAAGTAGCTTCCTCTGTTTGCATGTGTCCCTACCACATCCAGATTCTTGTTCTAAGGTTCTGCATCCTCTCCCAGAGTGAGACAGCTGAAGCTGATACCTTCCCATGGCAGGGCTAGAAAGAGTTAAATGGGACTAATTTTGGGAGAAAACATTATTCCTTTTTCCATAAACCCTCGTGCTTCAGGACCTTTGATGTTCCTCCTGCTCAATCCCTGGATTCAGCAAGAGCCTGATACTTTTTCTGAGCAACAAACATCTGTGATTCTATCTGAAATTGTTGGATAACCTCTTTGCCTTTGCACTGTGATACCCTGCTGTCTGTGGCAAGAGCAAAGCAAAGGATCAGTTTCATGTGCAGGGCTGCAGATTCTTTGAAGTAAATAGGAGAGGAAGCTGTTCCAGTAAATCATCAGTGTGAATCAGAACAGAACTGGGTGACAGAAACTTAGCAACTCTCAGCACCTGTTGTTCTGCTTTCCAGTGGGTTGAAGTTCAAGTTCTGTACCTGTATTCAGAGCTGTTTCATTATTACACTCCCTGCCCTCAGCTTAGTGAGATAAGTGAAATAACCCACTGTGCTGTGGGTGGAGAATCCTTTCAGCCAGCTGGGGTAATGCTATGCAGCTGACAGAATCAAGGCAAGAAACTAAGTTTTCCTGGTACTAAATCCATATATGATACTGTCTGTGTTCTATCAAAGCTTCCACACCAACACTTAGGTGCAGATAATGCAGATAAAAAATGATCAGGAAGCCCCGGTAAAGTTTGCCTTTTCCAAGAAGCAGATAAAGCCATGTCATGGATTACACTTCTCAGTCTAGCAGTGGTCTCATCCTCCCAGTGACATGACAAATTTATTTCATATATTTATTATATATTTCCTGGGGCTGCAATCTTATTTTATCCTTCAATATCCATAGGAAGTGAGTGCCCTGGAGTGTGAAATTCAGCTGCTGAAGAACCTCCAGCATGACCGTATTGTGCAGTATTACGGCTGCTTAAGGGACCGAGCAGAGAAGACCTTGACCATCTTCATGGAGTACATGCCAGGAGTAAGAGCAGCACAGTCAGGGATCAGAAGGGGAGGGGTCTGGGTTTGTTAGCTGGTTTGTTAGTTGCTGTGATCACCCTGTGTCATCTGCCTCAGACCCTCTTAGGGCTGTGCCTTCTCATGCTGGCTCATAATGCCACCATTTCCATTTTATTTATGCCCAAATAACCTCTTTGGTTTTTTCCTGAAGTGTCTTGTACTTGAAATACATTCTCTGTAACAGTCACTAAAGCCAGTTCTTTCCTTCAGTCTAAATTTGTTCTACCAAAGTACCTCAAAGGACTTGGGCCAACATGTAACTGAATTACCAGAATTGTGGTACAAGTGAGACTAAAACTGACCCTCCAAAAAGGGAGGTTTTTGACCCAGATCAGTCTGCTGAACTGTTTTAATGCTTCACAACCAGTTGTATCAGCAGACAGAACCTCCTTAAGCTATTTCTGCCATGAAGCCTGTCCTTGCTGTTCTTAAAAAGGACTTCTTAGGACAAGATGCTCAGAGAGCCTCCAGAAGGGCTTCAGCAGAGGCCAGAGTGTAACATCCAGGGCTTGTGGGAGTTGAATGGGCACTGCAGGATTTGTGCTTGTCACCTCATTGCCAATTCCTTGTCTTTGCTTTTTGGCAGGGGTCAGTGAAAGACCAGCTGAAGGCGTACGGGGCCCTGACGGAAAACGTCACGCGGAAATACACGCGGCAGATCCTCGAGGGCGTCTCGTACCTTCACAGCAACATGATCGTGCACAGGGACATCAAGGGTGAGAGCAGAAGGGTTTCACGTGGGCACATCCCAGATAACAGCAACAATGGGGTTCTTGATCTCATTGCAGCTTTGGAGGAAGAATTGCCTTTAGTGTCTAAACTTCAATTTGTGTCCACATAAAAGCTAAGCTCTAAAGTTTGTTTTTTCCCTGGTGCTTCGTGTTCAGGACCTCTGACCAAGTAAAGTGGAGATTGACATTGTTTATTGTAGGAGTTCAAAGTGGTTTTAATTAGCTACATCTGTTACCCATCTGACCAGAAAGCAATGCTCGCGCTTACCAAAGCAGCATCCCAATAAAATCCTTCTCTACACAGCTCTGTTCTCTCTCAGCCTGGGGGCCCTGCTAGGCTAGCTGAGCTGTTTACAGACACTGTAACAATGCTGGTGCTGACTCAGCTCTCATTTCCCTCCCCCCCTTCACTTCCTTGTGTTTTTCCCTGAAGTTTTTCCCATTTACAGCCATTAGCTATTGGCTTGTTACAGCCTGAATTAAAGAAATTATGTTTAGCAGGTCACCTGAGGCTTAATGGGGAAAGAGCCATACCATGAACACGGGTACTTGGGGTTGGATATCGTTCTGTAGCCTGCATATCCAACAGCTGGATTGCATGAAAACAGCTGTCTTTGTTTTTTGCTTCTGTCCAGGTGCCAATATTCTCCGTGACTCTGCTGGGAATGTGAAGCTGGGGGACTTTGGGGCCAGCAAACGGCTGCAGACAATCTGCATGTCGGGGACAGGCATCCGCTCCGTCACGGGCACCCCGTACTGGATGAGCCCCGAGGTGATCAGTGGGGAAGGCTACGGCAGGAAGGCAGACGTGTGGTGAGCCTTGCACTTGCTGTCCATAGATCACTCCACAGCTCTCTGGAGATAACACAGATACCTTCTGCCATCTAAGAATCCAAATTCACATCTTGTCTAGATTAAAGGTTTAAGGAGAATTGAAGTCACTGGTTTGAGCTCAAGACGTGATCTTCTGCAGGCTGTGCTTTCCAGGGTTAACACCCAACAACTCATTTAGTTTTTCAGGAACAAACTGATAGCTGTTTTTTTGCTTTCTGGCTGGTGCAATGTTTTCATCCTTCTCCTGCTCTCAAGCACTTGGTGGAATTCTTGGGGTGTCCTATGCAGGGCCAGGAACTGGGATGATGATCCTTGTGGATCCCTTCCAAGGCAGGACATTCTGTGATTCTGTGATATCCCTTAGAAGAGCAACTGAAGGTTGTTTAGGGAGAGCCCATTCATTTAGATATAAAATGAGAGCTCTGCTTACAGTGTACTGGAAATTAATAGAATTTTAGCCTTGAAGGAAAGATGCTCAAACCTGGAATAACAGAAAAGATCCATGTCAGATCAGAGATGATGTGCATGAATGGAAATGGTTGCTGTGCTATTATTGGCAGAGCCTAGGAACAGCCTCTATCAAAAGAGAAGAATGGTTCTGTGCCAAAATGTTAACTTTGGGGGTCTTGAAAAGATGAGATTCTCAAACTTAAATAAACAACAGGGACAAAAGATCTGGTTGTGCCTCCAGAGTAAAGCAGGGCCTGTTTCCTGTACAGGCGATGAGTGGAGTCACATCTGAAGCACATCTCGTCTGCAAAGGGTTAAGTCCTGCAGCCTCTCCCAGTTGTGATGCTTGGGGAGAGAGTGAAGCACGTGCCCTTCCCCTGGGTTGGTGCAGTTGTGGATTTCCTCTTGGTGCTGACATTGGTCCATTCCCATCAAAGAGTCGCTGCCATTGGCCAGACTCCAGTTCCTACAATCCAAATCATTATTTTGGGGGTCAGAATTTTCCAGTGCAGTGCTGGTCCCAGGGTAGATGTGTATGGCCCAGGGGCTCAGAAACGTAACAAATCCATCCACCTGGCTCTGTGCCACTGCTGCAGGCCCCTCTCCAGTTTTCTTTTTCCTAAATAGCAGAATATGTGAGTTATTTGTTATTGCTGGAGTGACTTGACATGAAAAACATTCCTGCTGTTTTCTGAATATCTTAAAGAAACCGGATCTGCTTAAACAGTATAAATCAGTCTAAACAATAATATATCCCTGCTTGCTTTTGAGCAAACCCCCAGCACTTCAGCACACATGGTTTGCATTTTCTGTACTCTCTTCTAGTAAGTCTGAAATGGCTGGAAAACTGTAAAATTTTCACGTTAGATTTTAAACCTTGTCAAGAAATCAGTTCTTGCATATTCACTGCATTTAATTCTTTTCCTTCCTTATCTTGGCAGTTGATGCAAGTCTGCTTCACAGCATGTCTTTTCCTTTTCCTTGCATTTCACCTCAAAAGAAGGTCTAGTTTTAAGGTGGAGGAGGCAGTTTTGTCTTTTTAATGGAAAGATGTGATAAAAACACAGGATTGGATATTAAAAAATCACTAATGGCTTTCACTTAATCTGTGGCATGGAAGAAGCAATTAATTCTTTTTGAATAAACCCCAATCAGTGCAGTGCTACAGCAACTGTCTTCCTTGGGAAGGTGTTGGAGTCACGTCGCTTCAGAAAGGTGGCTCAGCCACGTCCCCAGAATCACGTCCTTGCCCTGAAGTAGCCTGCAGAGCCCCATTAACTTTACAAGGAATTTTTCCTTAAGGTAATGATGCATCTGTCCCACAGGGATTTAACTTACTGCCTTCCCAGTTTGGAACTGTTACAATTTCAATTATTTTTTGACTGATGCTTGGTTTCTTGTGACGTGGAGATATTATTAGGTTGTTTTTTTCCCAACGTGGGCATTTTGAGGCTGTGACTGAGAAAGGATTTTGCTGAAATGGCTTTGTGGGGTCAACGAGCTCTGATTCTCTGAACCTTGAGTGTTAAAAAGTGTTTTCTACCTTGCAGCTCAGCAAGTTGAGCCTCTGAGCAATGTGGTCTAGTGGAAGGTGTCCCTGCACATGGAAGGGGGTTGGAACTTGTGGGTCCCTTCCAACCCAAGCTGTGTTGTGACTCTGTGATTCTCTATGTGCCTTTGAGTTAGAACAGAAGCAGCAGCACCTGAAGCTCCACCGACATCAAACGGTGCCTTCAGGGATGTCCCGTGGGCACCTCTTGTTCCCTGCTAGCACAAACGTTTCCTGAGGGGAGAATTCGAGCAAAGGGGAGCAGGGCATATTCAACAGGACAACTTTCCAGGCAGCTCCCTGCTGTCCTGGCAGCAGGAAGAGCAGCTGAGTCGGGGCACATGGGGGGTTTGCCAAGCACAAACTCCCCCAGGAGCCTTTTCCAGAGCGGGACCTCACTGTTGGCTGCTGGGGAGCCCTCCCTGAACGCTGGGCATTATTGAGTGAATTCTCATTTGGTTTTTTCCTGTCTGCTTTCCAGGAGCCTCGGCTGCACCGTGGTGGAGATGCTGACAGAGAAGCCCCCCTGGGCAGAGTACGAAGCCATGGCAGCAATCTTCAAAATTGCCACCCAGCCCACCAACCCCCAGCTCCCCTCCCACATATCAGAACATTGCCGGGACTTCCTAAAGCAGATCTTTGTGGAAGCCAGGCACAGACCCTCTGCTGAAGAGCTGCTCAGACACCAGTTTGCACAGCTCCAGTACTGAATTACCTCCCTTGCTCACAGCTCCTGCTGGGCTTTCCGTGCCCTGTCTTGTCTAGTTGCAACTGCCCGTTGTGGTGCTGCATCTTCAAAATGCCAACTCAGCTAGGCCTAGTCCTTTGGGAAGTTCTGCCAAGGAACTTGGGGTCTGCTCTCGTGCCTGATCCTTCGTTTGCTGGACTGATGTTCATCCTGCCGACAGCTGTCCAAGCAAAGCTGCGTTTTCCCGTTACCTGGCTGCGTGTTTTCTTCCAGCACAGGAATGGGAATCTGACAAGTGTCCTCACTTGCTGAACATAGGAGAAATCTGAACCCGGGTGGGAACTGGAAGAGCTCCATTCTTCAGCAAAAGAGAAACTTGCACCAGCCTCCAGACCTGCTCTGTGGGAGTCCCTGGTTTCCCCTGCTGGGGCTCCAGAGGCGTCTCCAGTACCTGAGTCCAGCAAAAAGCCATGTGTCATGGAGCCTGTGCTTGCTACAGGATGGTATATTCTTCTTCTTGAGTATTCAGCATCTGAAGGTGTTGAGAAAATATTGATTCAAAAGTATGTGAATTGTGTTATTTTATAATGAACCCGTGGATTTGGGGGTGAGGGAGGTCTTTCCAGCTAAATGTTGGGATAATCAGACATTTCAGCAGAATGCAATCACTCCAGGGCCTGCCTGAGGGAAGGGCTCTCCTGCTCACGTTGGAAAATCCAGAGCTAATTTCCAAGGTTTGACCTGTCCCAGCATTAGGACAGTGCCAGTTAGTTTGTGTTGTACCAGACAAATCTGTGCTGCTCCTTCTCTCTCTGGGGCTGCTGGATCCAAACAAAACCCCTCTGGAAGGGAATTCAGTGGAATTCAGCTTCCTCTTGCATCTGTTTCTTTCACTGGTAACTTTTTACCATCCTTTTAACCAAAGATAGTCCATCTGGTGCCCAGGAATTTACTTCAGAGTTTCTTTGAGCACATGGCCTAGTGGAAAATTGAGGGTTTCTTGGGGAGAATTACCTGGACACTCGTTCTTGTTGTGCACAGGAAGCTGGAATCGAGCTCAACCCTTTGCTGTGTGTTGTTTGAATTACAGCTGTGCAAGTGGTCATTTAAGAGTTCCATAAAAACGTTAAGGCCTAACTTAACTTAAGCTTTTGTAGGAGTCAAGTCAAACGGAACCTGAGAAAATACTTTAAATGGTGGTAAATATCTAAAATTACCTGGAGATCCCCATGCAGGTACCAGCAAAACATATCCAGGTGATTGTGCACTTGAAAGATGTCACAAGTCAGAGGACTGAGGTCCTGATGACCTCAGATCCTCTTCTCCTGATTTGGGCACCAATAATCTTTGTTTCACTCATGAAAGACCAGCAGTTTTTAAGTGCTGGGGATTCATGGAGATTATAAATTATCTCTGAGAAACGAAAGAAAAGCAAATGTTAATTAACTAAAATATTGCTTTATAGGGCAACACTGAAGGTGTTCTGCTCTTCTATTGGAAACCATATTAAGGTTCCACACACCTCCACTCTTCTCCCCCATAAAAAATTGAAATTTTAATGCATTACGGAGTAATTTAACCTTTTAAGTGAATAAGGCAAGTTTTAATGAAAGTAAGCTCTTTCAACACATGAAAAATACTGTGTTGAATTAAAAGAGGAAAAAAAAAAATACCCTAAAAGCCCCAACCAAAAGTCCTGAAAAGCTTTAACAATATGAAATGTTTTTTTCTGCCAAACCCAGAGCAAATTGTAACCAATAAAAGCTGGTGTTGTTGTCCCTTCCAGGCTCCCTGCACTACTCCAAGGATGCACTGTCCCACTTGTGGGCACTTAGGGGATCCCTTTTATTAAAGCCCTTGTTCCATAATTTATTTCATTATTGTGAGAGCACTTCAGTTGATCTTTCTCCAGGCAGGAACTCGACTCCAGATTGTCCAGACCCTTGGCCTGACTTCTGGCCTGCACTTCACTGTTGCCATGAGGGGAGGGTGTGAGGCTCCTGCTCAGCTCAGGGAGCTGCTCACACCACTTGGCTGGCACTGTGGGATTATCCCTGCAGGCTGCATGACAAAAGTAAGGGGGGTCAGCAGCGCTGGGGGGCCCAGCTCTTCACACCTTGCAACCTAAAGATACCAAAGATTGGAGTCTTCATCCACCGCCCGTCCCTTGCAGGGATCAGGAGCACAGTGATATCTGTCCTTGGCTCGTCCCTTACCAAATCCAGACCTTCTCCCATGGTTTTTCTCTTCCTGTCCCATATGCTGTTATCTGGGGGAGAACAGGGCGTGAGGAAACAGCAGAACTTCTGTCAAAGCAGCTCAATCCTCAGGACCTGTTGTGGCTTTTACCTCACCCGCATCACGGGAGGCGCCTCCCAAGCGGAGCAAGAGCAGCCGGGAGCGATGGGCTCGGCGCTGTCCCCGAGCTCCCAGCCCTTGGCCGTGCTGGAAGCGCCTCCTCTGTGCAGAGCCCTGCGCTCCAGGCTGGAATGGGACTAAACTGCAGCTGTGCAGCGACAGAGAACACGGGGCCAGCTCGGACTGGTGCGTCCAGCAGCCGCCCCGGCGCCACACGTTCGGCACAGGAACAAGCCAAAGCATTACCTGTATGTTTGGAGATGCACTTTTATGAATGTAGTTTATATCGCTCTTTTTTAGCTCTTTTTACATCATGTAAACAGTGATGCCTCATATTTTTTTTTTTAATTTATATCGTAAAAGATCATATTTGGTGATTTTTATATATATCGACTGTTATGGGGTGGGGGGAGGTGGGGAAATAAATTTGACGCCTTTATGAATTTAAAAAGGAAAAAGAGCAGCTGGTTTTGCAGAGAATTTGCTGATGGTTTATAATGAGTAAAGCCAAGCCAAAATGCCTCTTTGTTTCCTCACAGCCCTCTTGATTATGGAAAAGGAAGATGTGGAATCCTGAGTCCACTGCTCCAATGAATAACTTGGGGCTGACATTGATACCATGGGCTTTTAACAGCCCTGGCAGCAAAAGAGTTTCAAGTGGACAGAAATGTAATTATACCTCAGAATTGAATTGTATCTGGCCTCTTTATCCTGGCACACAAGAAAAAAAATGGGAATAAACTCATTTAGGGGAGAGTGGAGGAGGCGTGCCAGGCTGACAATAAGCTATTGTGTGAATTCCAAATGTCATGTTGGACTTCCTGCTGTTCCTTTCAGGGAGGGATATATAGGGAATATTGAGTATTGGGATCCCTGATGGAAGGTGCTGCAGAAATGCAGAATACTCTGTTTGACAAATAATTTCTTATCAGAGTCGCACTATCCTGAAATGGTTAAAACTAATCAGAAAAGTGTCTGAGATTCCCATTGGAGAGGAACTTGGTGGGGATCTGGCTGTCCCTGAGGTAGTTAGGAAACAAAGTAGTGACATTTTGGTCTTGGTGTGACGATTCTGTGCATTCCAGGTTACTTGCTTGTTCTCCAGAAAATCCCATCTTCGCCCATTCTAGTGGCAGTTCGGTTGCATCAGTTTGGATGGGTTTTTTGGGGTGGTTTTTTTTGCCTAATTTGGAATAATACTCCAAAGAATTTGAAGCTGCTCCAAAGAGTTCCCATTGACACCAGTTACCAACATAAACTGAAGGAAGGAAAAGATAGGTGTGCAAAGAGCAGTTCAAAAAGGAAGAAGAGGACTTTGTTATCACCACAAATGAGGCAAAGCAGGGAGAAGGGGCTTTAACCTGAATTGTGCAGAAGACCTTGACCCAGTAGTCTCTATTTACCGACCGGGGGCTTGCAGTGCAAAGCCAGGCCAATGTATCATTTTATTTACAATAAAATTATCATTTATATGAAAATCTGTTTTGGTGACTGGCCCTTTAAAAAACAAAAATTCAGAGAAGGAAAGCCTCTGGTTTTCAGACAAGTGGAGGATACCAGGAGCTGCCTGCCAGAAATGGAGCTTCCCACCTGGTTTAATGTTCTTTTTTAACTGAAAACCCAGCCTTAAAAACCTGGGTTTCATGCTTCCCTACCCCCTTAAAATCACCTGGTGTTGTTGAAACGCTGCTGCTGCGGCTGTGCCAGAGGGAATGAGGAAGTGAGGCCAGGCAGAGGCAGAAGCAGCACTGAGGGCTCCGCACTCATTTCTGAGCCTTCTGCAGAAGGAAGGGGTGGGGGAAGGAGCCCCAGGTCTGCAGCCTCACAGCCCCCGGGTGCCTTTTTGGGGTGTAAATCTGCCACCACTGTCCCTGTGGGGAACAGTCAAAGCTCTTAGTGAAGCTGAACCCCCCTGAGAGCCTTGCCAGGGTCTATGTGCACAGTCCCTGTGGTGGCCGTGTGTCCCCAGGCCATGCCTGCCCAGCAGCCCTTTCAGAAGTTCTGTGAAAAGGAGAAATAACTTGTCCAGCATCAGGCTTCTCTGGTCATCCAGCCTGTGCTGTCCCCAAAACCAGATGTCACTGTGAGCATGAGCCATCCCCACTGTGACCCTGCGACGTCTCCACTGTGGAGCTGCTGCCTGGCTGGGGGTGCACACCCTGAGCCCCAGAAGGGCTGTGCTGAGCACCAGAGACTGGCGTCTGTTTGTGTCTTCTCTTCCTCCCCTGGACTACCCATCCCCATCTTTCTCCCTCTTCCATCCTTATCTCCTGTTTCCATGGCTGTGTCTGGCTTCTCCAGACAGGACATGCTCGGCAGAGCTGATGGTATCAGTCAGGATGGAACAGGGGCTCTTGCTGTTGCTATCACAGGCTGATATGGGGCCCTAAAAAGCCCAGTTCCTGTAGAATTTGAAAGACATGGGGTTCCTGAGCAGTTGTACAAAGTGTGCTTGGAGGAAAGAGGTAAATAATAATTAAAACCAGACTCACCCATTTTCCCTGGTTTTCCTGCATTTGTGTGTCCAGCCTGGCAGGGCTTCTTGGGCTCACTCATTTGTATGGACTGTGCTATCCAAGCCTAGGGGGTGGATGGGGGTGGATCCAAGCCAGACCTGTGTGGCACCAGCCAGCAAATGATGCCCGTTCAGCCCCTGGCAGAGCCACTGAGGCAGGGACAGGGCACTGATGTGGAGGGGAGGCTGTGAGACATATCAGGGCAAAGGGGTGACTCTAATCCTGGGGGGATCCACCTTTTGAGGGTGGTCTGGGCTCCATTTGGAAGCTGGTGGAAGGTTCCAGCTGGGCTGTGCAGCTTGCATGGCAACACTCATGTGGAATTTAATATCCTGGTTCAGTTCCCAAAAACTTGGGGGCCCCAGGGGAGGCTTCCGGTCAGGGGCCTGCACCCTGGTCACCTCTGCCCAGTCCTCATGGTCTGCAGGACCCCTCGGAGCACTGCCAAAGAAGGGTGGGCTGCCTCTCTCCCACCCCCTCCCTTCCCTCCCAGCCTCACACACACACAGGTATCCAGGTATCCTCGATCCTGCACAGACATAAGCTCTTTCCCCGGTAGCAGGGCAGTAAGAGGCAGACCTGACCACTAGTCCCACCTCCCCAGGCCCCTGAGAACACAGGACAAGACAGGGAAGGCTCAGAAACCTTGTATTACAAAAATAAAGGAGCGCATGTGAAGCTGCCGCGAGGCTCCAGCGCAGAACGTACCAGTCAAAGGCAAATATAAAAAAGAGACACTGTTAAACCGTGGCAGGGCAGCATCCTTAAGGCTGAACCATCCCAGCTGAACTGAGCTGATGTAAATCGAAGACCCTCCTTATCCAGAGCCCCAGCAGTGCAGGGTTGGTGGCAGAGCTGGGAGCTCTGCAGTCACTCACAAGCTGGATAAACCCCCAGCTCATCTCCTTTTCCATGGGGACAAGCCTGAAGTGGATCAACAGGGCTGGGACTCCCATGGGTGCAATTGCTTCTGCTCTGATCTCACTGGGGAGAGGGGCCTGCAAAGAGAGGGCTTCAGGTCTGGGGGCTGCACCCTGATCACCTCTGCCCTGTCCTTCAGGCCTGCAGGACGCCTGTGAACACCCTCCCCTCCCACAGGTCCTGCTTTACATCAGCTCAGTTAGCCCTGGCTCAGCTCCTCCGGCTCTGCTGGGCTCCAGGAGCGAGGCTGGCCCCACTCACGCCGACTTGGTCCCACTCTCCACCTCCTTGTGCACCCACAGCTCCTTGTGCTGCTTGCGCCCGAAGCCTTCGTCATAGTTGCCTTTACTCTTGAAGAGCTGTTGGAAGTGGGGCTTGCAGTAGAATTCCCCGTGGAGCGCAGCATAGCTGCCCAGGCTGGGGAGGGAGGGCAGGGTTAGCCAGGCATGGAGATGGAGCTGCAGCCTGGGGAAAGTGAGGGGGGCTTGGGGACACCGAGACAGCACGGGGGGAACATGCAGGAGGGGACCCTTAGGGCCAACAGCTCCTTCCCACCAACAGAGGCTGTTGGGGGCTGCTGTGAGTAGAGATGGGGAGGTCTCAGGGGAGCTCAGCTTCGGCTCTGTGTCCTCTGGAAGGAGGCTCTGGCTCAGCTCTGTGTTCCCCTGGGACTGCTCTCAAGGGGAAGTATCTCTGCTTCTGTACCAGGTGGGATTTAGCTGAGACTTGGGCCAAGGTGTGCAGATAAACCTTTGTTTTGCAAAGGGTGGGTGGGCTGGGGGTCTCTGGCTACTGGCCAAGCAAGGGGCTGTGATGGGGGGGGCACTATTTGGGAGGGTCTCAGCAGAGCTGCAGACACCATGGGGACAGCCTGGCTCACCTGAGCTTGGTGTGGCAGTGCTTGCAGCAGAAGCAGGAGTTGTGGAAGACAAATTTATCAGCCACCAGCCGCTCCATGGGATACACGGTTTTCTGGCAGGCAGTGCATATCTCCTTCACCTGTGCCTTCAGGCTGAAAGACTGGCCAAGGGAGACAGAGGATGAGGACAGAGTTTGGGACACCCTGGATCCCTCCACTGCCCTCCCCCTGCCCTCTATTCACTGGGGAGCAGGAAGCAGCCTCATCTCCCTCACCCTCCCTGGGCCACTCCACTGATGCTGGATTGGAGCTTGGTCCTTGGGCTTTTGGCCCTTCCACCCTTGCCAAGAATCAGCAGGAAAAGGCCCTGACACAGGGTGCCCAGGGAAGCTGTGGCTGTCCCATCCCTGGCAGTGTCCAAAGCCAGGCTAGACAGGGCTTGGAGCAGCCTGGGACAGTGGAAGGTGTCCCTGACATGGCAGGGGTGGGACTGGATGAGCTTTAAGGCCCATTCCAAACCAGGCTGTTCTGAGATGATTCTATGATGTAGAAAAAACAAAGGTACCTTGGAGCGCTGCACTGTGCTGCCTCCTGAGCTGTTCTTGGCCTCCTAAAAAGGGAAGGAGAAAGCAAAATGAGAGCTGGGCACAAACCCCTGTGACCTGCACCTGTAAATCATCACCTGAGGCTCATGCACCTGTGTACCACAGCAGCTCTGCACGGAGATGCTGCTCCCTCGGAGCGGGATAATTGCTCCTCTTGATGCAGGTGCACAGGGCTCGGGCAGTGCGTCCTTGCCCGAGCTCAGGGGGCAGTGGCCCGTTCCCCCAGGCATAGCTGGGTGCCCCTCGCTGTCCTGGGGCTGCTCGAGGCAGATGTTTTGCTTGCAGCTGCTCTGCCCCTCGCAGCCCCTCGTGCTGGGGCTGTGCAGGCTCGGGGCTGTGGGAGGGCACGGGCAGAGCTCACAGGGCTCTGGGGCTCCTGTGTTTGGGGCCAGAGGCTGCTCAGCCCTGCAGCAGCAGGACACAGACCCAAACACTGAGCAGCCTCTACCTGTGCCCCAGGTTTCTGTGGGCAGGGTGTCTCAGCACCGTGTCCATCTGCAGATGCAACAGCTCATCCCTTCCAAATCCTCACCTGCTCCACATCCTGCACCCTCCCCAGGGCACCCGTGGGGTCCCTGACAGCCGCCCCAAGGAGTTTTACCCGCCTTGGCACTGATAGAAGTGCTCCCTCCTTCCCAAAGTTGGGATCCAAGGGGCAGTCACACTCCAGCAGGGTGACCAGTCAGGGTTGGCTCATCCTCCACTCCTTGTTCCCAAGGTTGAGTGAGGCAGTGTGACCCCAGGATGTCACCCCAGAATGTCACTCTGCTGTCCTTGTCCTTCCCCTGCCTGCCCAGTGCTGCCGCTCTCTACCCCCAGGCTGATCCCCCACCCCCTGTTCCTCCTGCCTTGTCCTTCCCCATCGTTTCTCCTTTGTATTTTTGGAAACAGATTGTTTAAGAGACGCACAGGAAACTCTCCCCTGGCCGAGCTGCCTCCTCAGACATTTCCCAGCTGCTCTCACTGACTGAGGTCAGGGCTGTGATTTTCCTCTCTCTCCCATGAGGCTGGAAGCAGGAGCCAAAGTCAACAGTGGGACATGGGCAGCGAGGAGGCTCTGGTTGTGTAAAACCAGTTGCATCCCTTGGCACTGGTAGAACAACCGCAGGTGCTCTCCTGGGGTTAGGATTTAATATGCTGTTTCCAGGCTCAGCTGACCAGAGCTAAGGAAAATGCTGCCTCTCTGGAGCTGAGACACATCCGTTCCCAAGGCTACAGCAATCCACGGCTGCTCGTCACTTCTCGGCAGCCTCCTGGCCCCATCGGGCACACTCTCTACTCCGTATCTGATAGATCTTCCCTCGGGGAAGGGCCGTATCCTGTCCCAGCAGGAGATGTTCCTGAACCTTTATGTTTTTCCATCTCCAATCACTCCAGTCCTAAGCAGCTCCGAAGTTCTCAATTGTGATCACGGAAAGCCATGGAAACACAAACAAACAGACAGTGACTCCAGACAGCAAAGGGGTGAGAGCTCTGGAGGGGCCAGAGCCTGAGGCTGACGTTCAGCATGCTCAGCAAACAGCACCTTCTGCTGGAACGTTCCTGCCCCCAGTTCTGTTGTTTGAGTAGCAGTGACTGTGCCTTTGATCACCCTAAAATGTCAGGTCAGGAACACAGCTTCTGTGTACAACCCTCCTTCCCTGCGAGCCCAAAGCCAGCTGAAATTCCCATACAAACCACAGGATGCCTCGTACATGAGTTGGGGGTGGGCTGGCGGCTCCCGTGGCCTGGAACATGGTTCCTTTCCCTTGTCCGTCTGTTTAATCCTGAGCTTGAAGCCTGTGCGTCGATGTTCCCTGCGGAGCCGTCTAAGACAGACTCTTGCAAGACCTGGAAAGGAAATGTCGTCAGGAGTGGGGCTGGTTTCATCACCCAAGCCCAGCAGCTCTGCAGGAGCTGGTGTGTGCTCAAAGCTTCCTCCGTGGGGTCAGATCAGCCCTGCTGGGCTGGGGCTGCCTGAGGGACCCGAGGCACTGGACTGATGGACAGGAGATGCAGGTCTGGGATACTGAGATAGCAGCTGGAGAGTTTGGGGCTCTGAATACCTGTAAGGTGATGTGATGGTTTCTACCCCAAACCCACACATGGAAGCACCAGGCAATGACCATGCCACTGCTAGCAAGGCTGACCCCAAGCCAAAGCAGCAAAACCAGCACCTGTGTTTCACTAATGCAGCCACTACAGGACTGGTGTTGCTGGAGGAAGGACTGTGATTTTAGTCTAATTTTAGCCCAGAAAAGTCTTGCTGATCACAGCTCAGCAGAGCAAGTGATGGGGATTTTGTCTCCTTGAGGAGCCCACGTCGGCTGAGCCTGTGTGATGTGCTGAGTGCCTGGGAGGATGAGGCTGACAGGGCTGGGACCAGCACAGGAAAAAAACACCAGCATTGCAAATCATCCCTTTTGGTAAAAACGAGCTGAAAGAGCACTGACAGCTCCTCAGGGGGTTTTCCACACCCCACTTTACCTTTAAAGCACCGTGAAAGATGAGCCCTGCTTTGAATACACAGGACAGAGCTGCGGGGTTGAGTGAACGCTGCCAAGGGAGGAGCACAGCAGCAAACAGGAGGGTGAAGGGGTGGCTCTGCAATGATGGGGATGAGCTGGAGGCTAGAAAACCAGCACCTCCCTCTGCCTGGGGCTGCCTTCCTGTCCTACTGAACTCTGAGTTTTGGGGGGTTCTTTGGCTGCCAATCCCCCAGCAGCTGACATCAGCCTTGCATTACACCCAGCAAAGCACCTAAAATTCATGGCTGCTTTCAGAGTTGAAAGAGCCTTAGCCCAGGACCTGGGCACTGGTGGGTGCCCCTCACAGCCCTGTGGCTGCACGGCCCTGGTTGCAAACATTTCCCAGCCTCAGCTGAGACCCAGCCGTGTTCTATCAAAATCATTTCCCGTCTCTCTGCGGTTTGTTGCAATTTCCTGCTCTCCGAGCTTGCTCGCAGGCAGCTGCTGCTGAACCCAGCATCTGCTGGGGGCCAGGGCCCAACCCCACAGCCCCTCCCTGTCCCCGTTCCCTGGGACAGGACCTTCTCTTGGTCCCTCTGGGGTCTGTCGGGTCCTACAGCCCAGCACAGATGCTGCAGGGAACATGAGTGACCCAGAAAACCTTGTGCCCCCACTCACACACACCTCTAACACAGATGCACAACCCTCCCCTTTTCACCTGCTTTTCACCCCCCTTTTCACCTTCACCCCAGCCTTTGTTACAAATATTTGTCCTCCCCCAACTTCCCTTCCCTCACAGCTCATCTTCCTCCCCTACCCCTGCCACCTTCTTTTCCTCGGTTTTTCCGGACTCTTCATCACCCTCCTCTTGCCCTTCCCCAGAGCCTGGGATGGGGGAAGGTGTCCCTGCCCATGGCAGGGGGTTGGAACCAGATGATCTTTAACTCAAACCTTTCAGGGGTTCTCTGATAAACACATGATTACTTCCACCTACTATTTATTTCCTTCACTCCTCATGCCCCCAGCCCCGTTTCCCCTCAATTCCAGGCACTTGTCCCACCGCAGAGCTGGCTGCTCTCCCCCAGCCCCTGCAGGCCCCAGCCCTCCGTGCTCGTACCTCTCACAGCCCTGTGCCCGCGCTGTCCCGGCCCGACTGCAGAGAGAGCCCTTGCGGGAGCTGCTAAACCTCCTTCCTGCCAAGGGCAGGAGCACAGATCTCAAAGGGGAAGGGTGTGCTGAGGCGATAAGGGAACAGAGCAAGTGAGGAACTACACGAGGTTTTCTTGGAGGCTCTCGGCTGTTGTCATTGCTCTTCCCAGGAGCACAGGCTGGCACTGGAGCCCAAGGCAGCCACCACCAGCCTCCATGAGGTGGGATCGTGGTGACACGGCAGTGCCTAAGGACTGCTGCCACACCGATGTTACAAAGCCTTCACGACAGCTCAGGAAGCCTCGGGGCTCGCTGGCTTTGAGGGGTGCGGTGGGCAGGTGTGACAAAGCCCCAGAGCCCGCACGGCCCACAGCAGAGACTGGCACCAGAGCTGCCGGCACAGTCAGGATCTGACTGTCCTCAAGGTCCTCAGCCACTCACACAGCCTGGGAAGAGCAGCAGCAAGGACCGTCCTCCCTCTCTAGGTGGTGCCAGCAGTTTCGGGTTTTTGGCTCAGGACAAAGGGAGAGCCCCTTTCCCTTCCAGCCTCTCTTGTCCTGCCCCTTGCAGCGCCTGATGGCTCCAGGCAGGGAGGAGTGTGAGGGGAGGAGGGCAACGCTGCTCGATCAGAGCTTTTCCCTAACAGCCTCCTGCATCCCCTCACCTTTCTGCCTGACCCTGGGGCAGATGGAGGCAGAGGGAAGCTGGGGCTGCCCCTCACGGCAATCTCCGATCTCAACCTGCCGAAGGATCACGTTTCCCACAGGCAGGACGGGTGCGGGGAGCCTTTCCCCCTTCTCATCTCCAGAGGGGCCACCAGGGCTGATCCGGCCCGGCGCTGTTCGAGGGGCTCCAGCACAGGGAAGGAGCGTGACCACAGAGGCCCAGAGGCCCCTCTCTACCATATGGTTCCCATTAGCAGCCCTGGGAAGGGTTTGTTTACTGCAGGGATCACTGCTCCATTGCAGGAGGCTTTCCCAAAGGCAAAGCATGATGTGGGGGATCTGGGCCCCCTTCCTCCTCCATCCCTGCAGCACATGGAGTATCCCCAGAGCAGGACCAGGCACCTCAGGCTCTCAGGCCTTTCCTCCAGGAAATCTTGGGCTGAGCTGATGGCTGTGGGGATGGATGTCCCCAAAATCCTGTGCAGGATCAGTGAAACCCACACAGGACAGCGCTGATCCTCCATCTCCATGGCCATCATCCCTCAGAGCTGGCCAATGTGGGCAGGAGGCGAGCAGGAGCTGGAAGAGCCTGTCTCCTGATCCTGGGAATCACCCAGCTCCCAAGGCTCAGTTTCTGCAGTCTTGGGGTCTCACAGTTGACCCACACCATGAAACAAAGTGTGGTGCAAAACCAGCATCAAACAGGCCAGTCCAGAGCCACGCACAGCAGAGCCAGAGAAGGGATGATGGAGCGAGGCCACAGCTCCTACATTAGGCATGGAATCCCTTAATTCAGCTTCAGGTCTTGGCTCCTGTGTGGCTTTGAGCCAACCTCTTGACCTCACTGGCATTGGGGACCCAGGGCAGCTCCCTGCTGGCTTGGCACAGGGTGGAGAACTTCAGGGAGCAGAATCTGGACATTTCTGGGGACATCTCCACCCTGCTGGTGAGATTCCTGGGGAGTGGGCCTGACCCTGCCCCACCCCATGGCCAAGAACCACCTTCCACCAGCCTGCTCCACTAATCCCCTTTCCATCCACGTTCTGCCTCTTGAAAGGCTGCCAGTAGGCAGGAAATCTGCAGCTGAAATGCTGAGGGATGCTGACAAGGAATAGTTGTGGGGAGGAATAGGGCTGCCTTTGTCAGGGCAACAATGGGGGACCCACAGGAGTCGGGGGGAGCCCAAGGGAAGCCCATGCCCACCCACTACCCTCTCCCACTTTCATACCTGCCTCCCCTGAGGAAGAGGGGCACAGCTCCAGAAGCACCAGGGCCTGGGGACTGGGCTGGTCCCTGCCCCTGCCTCTTAGTGAGGGGGCCCATGGGCCAGCAGGATGCCACTGGGATTCACCTGCTTTCCAGAAGTAGAAACTGAGGTGACCCATTCCTGAGACTGTGGTGTTTAATGGCAATCCATTAAAAATCATGATCTGAAGGGATTCTCTGTCCCCTGGGATCTCCTGTCTTGCTGAGAGTTCAGAGAGAGCAGAGAAGCACAGCAGAAATCCTGACAGGAGGATGAGAAGAGACTTTTCCAAGCAGAGTCAAATTCTCAGTAGTGCCAGACAAATATTGCAGGTTGAGAGGTTCAGGCTGGACATTAGACAAAAGTGCTTCGCTGGGAGAAAGCTTGGAAGCAGAACAGGCTAATAAGGTGCAATATAAACCTGGTGCAAACAAGCACAACAGGCAAAGAGCAGCTCATGTCCCTTCCCTCCCCTTGTAAGCTCTTCCCTAATCTCTTCCATAAACCATACTGCACCTGGAAACATCACCTCCTGTACATCTACACAAATGTACAGCCATTTACCATTAGACATTAGCTCTTCTCCCATCACATGTTTGCCTTTCATAGAGTGACCACACTCAGGAGAAGCAATTCCTTTTAACTCTCGTGTGGTGGGGTGTCCTGCCACAGCCACCGTGCTGACCTGATGCAAACAGGTGAGCTGCTCTGGCAGCTCCACACCCGGGAGATCTCAGTCCTTGGTACTCTGATACAAAACTCCAGCAGTCCTGAAAGCCTTACATCCCTTCTTGCAGAAGAATCCAAGTGTGTCGTCCTTCCATTTTGTTCTCTTTTCCCTGTCCTTTTTCCTGTCACCACCTAAAATAATCATTTCCTTGGGCTCTATTACGAGGCCTTGTTGTTAGGTTAAGTGTGCTTAACATTGATATTGCAATAATCCTTTTGTCCAGATTTAATGTTTTCCATCCCAGGGCTTTTGCTAAGAGTGAGGTAAACGCTGCAACACCCCCAGCTGGCAGATAAAAATTACTTTAGTGGGAGGGGAAAGCAGACATGTCTTGGGGGGGACATGGCAGCTGCCTGGCAAAACCCTGCAAGCACTCAGGGTGGGAGAAAAGGAAAAGAAAAACTCCATCAGCCTCCAGGACCAGAGGGATAGTTGACTCACTGAAGGAAACCAGAGGAGGAATTCCCTTCCCTAATGACAAGTCTCATAGGAATTTTGCTGTCCAAAAACAGTCAGGAACCTGTTTCTGAGCTGTATAAGAATGAAGATGCATTCAGACACTTTGCAAAGCCCAAGAGGTTGCTTCTGACAGACCCTCACCCTGCAACTGGGAATTTGCTTCTTGCAGGGCTCCCATTTAAAAAGGACATTAATACTGGGGTTGTTTCAGACTAAGCTTGGTCAATTGCCCTACAATTTATTTTGTAATCTACATTAATAATGCTACAGATGTGCTGCTCCTGGCCTTAAACACACAACAGCTCAGCTGAGGCACCAGATGTCCTCCCTGTGAGAGCCCTCACACGACGTCTTTGGTGGACAAAGCCCAATTTTCAAGGCTGGATTATCAGGCTTTTTTCAAAACTGATACCCACACCATGAAAAAAAATCAGCAGGAAATTGGTCATAAATATGATCTACAAGGTATCTTAGCTTGTTTGAAGTGACCCAAGGGAATTAGACAGATCAGGCTGTCTCAAAACACAGTAGTTACAGCACCAGACTGGGACTCAGGAGACCTGGGCTTGATTCTTAAGTCTGCTGCTAATTTTGGGTGGCAGTGGATAAATAATTTCATTTTTTCTCTTCCCTTTTCTGCCCCTCCCCTTGATGAAAACAGAGCTGCTCTCCATTGTGAAGCCCTGGGAGATCCCTGGCTGTTAAGGGTTATGTCGGAGCCCAGGGCATTTGTGTTGTTATTAAATCTCACAGTCATGCAACAGCCTCCCCAGGGAAGTGATGAAAGACCTGTCGCTGGAAAGGTTTCAATGCAGGCTGGATGAGCGGTAGGAGACACACCATCGGGAATTGGCAGGCATTAACGGCGGGGGATAAGGGAGTGGGGATCTAACAGGTTTTTTCTTCCATCTCTGCTCCTTCTGATCAGCTTAAAATGGATCTGTCCAGCCCTCCTCCAGCATGTAATGCAGCACACAACAAAGGGAATTACAGCCCAATCGGGGAGCGGGAGCCCCGAAATACGCGCCCAAATCGGCACCCCCGGAGCAGAGCCGGGCAGCGCAGGCCTGCGGCCGCAGCGGGTGCCAGCCCCGCCGGGGCTCACTCGGCTCCGGGAGCTCACCCCGCTCCCCAGCCGGCTCCGGGGCTCCGGCAGCGCCTGCCCCGGCTCCCAACAC